ATATATATATATATATATATATATATTTATCATTTAAGGATAATGAATCCTTATTGTGTTCTGTAGGTAACTAGGCAATAAAGTTGTGGCAAACACAGCGTTTGTAATGCCGTTCGCTCGCCATAGACTTTCTCATTGTTTTTATATATGAGTGCTTGTGCGGACAGACAACAGTAAATAGACAGACACATACACAGAGCGCTACTGAAGAGCAGAAGCTGGTTTGCGGCCGGCCGGATGCGCTTTTATGCTTTCTGGTGCTTACTTCGCCCTGCTCGTGACGTCTCGCTGCTCCATTGGACGGATTTGACACGTGCTTCAGAACGCGGTCACGCAAGAGCGTTCCCAAAGCGATCTCGACGCAGCTCGAGTTCCTGAAGGGGAATCAGCATTCATCATCACTTTCATAATAAAGAGGAGATAAAGCAATTACTGCGGGACTACAAAAGGTGACTGGAACAATCGGCGGCGGTCTGGGAGGAGTTCTGTGGTTAAATCTAGTCGCTCTAAGTCCCTTATTCTTGTGAGTGTTTTTCCCACCCTGGCTCCAAGCATCCACAGAATATGTTGACAGTGTCTACTTACTTTCCCGTGGGGCTTCCTCATCCAAACACTTTCAACGCTTTATCAGCCAGTTTTTGTATATACACAAATACACATATACGCCCTAATACAAAAAACACAAACTCATTCTACCAAGACATGTTAGGATATACAGAAACGACAAAAGCAATGCAAATCATATATTTGCATATTGTTCTTTTGTTCCTACAATATGAATATTGGTACTACAACATTTTGCCAAAAGTGTTCCATGCATACAACAGGCATACTGTATAAAAATTTATTTAGCTTGAATCTATATTGAATTTAGCCATTTTGAGCAATGGTTATCTTTCAGCTTGTTTATTGCTTATTTATTTCTGCAAAAATATGTGTGGGGTTGGTATATTTAAAAATTTTGAAAGAGGTCTTTTTTCAAAGAGGCTGAAAAAGCTGAATTTATTTGAAAAAAAAACAGTATATTGTGAAATATAATTACAATTTAAAAGCAGCTGTTTTTTTTATGTGTTCAAATTGTAATTTATTCCTGTGAAGGCAAAGCTGAATTTTCTGCAGCTATGACTCCAGTCTTCAGTATCACATGATCCTTCAGATATCATTCTAACATGCTGATTTTATGTCATAGAAATATTATTACATTATACAATAATCATTATTATAGAAATAATATTATTAAGCTATGCTACTTAATATTTTGTGGAAACCATGATCATATTTTTCACAGATTATCAAATAGATAATAATAATTACTACGGTGCATCCAAAGACTCTTGGTCTTAGCCATAATGTTTTTCTTTGCAGTAACTGTGAATATTTAAATGTGATGATAAATGTAATGTGTTTTCATTTGTGTTTCACTTATGTGATCAAATGGGCATGATGTAGGTGTGACCTGTGAAGATGACCTGCTATTTGTGTCTGAGCAGTGGAGAGTTCATAGATATGTGTACCAAAGGTGACAATGCACACAAAAGCAAGAAGACCTCCGCCTCAGACAGCACTTCTAAAAACAGCAACATGTTAGATATTTCTACTCTAAATCAGCACTAACAAATCTACAACTAAACTGTGGTTTATTATCTGTGTGCAAAAAAGAAACAACTTTTTATCTGTTCCTTGCTCTTGGAAAACAGGAAAGTCAGAACAATGTCAGTCTGAGTCAGCTTTGATTGTATGATGTTATCAAGAAACAGACAGAAAATATATATGTGCTCATTTCAAAAACCATCCATCTACAAATTGGTGAAGTGTGCAAAGACTGTGTAAATGGGTCTGTAGACGTGCGGCGGTGGGCTTTTCCTCTGCAATTAAACTAGAGATGACTGACCATTTAGACAAAACATACAGTCAGGGATTGTTTCTTGTTTCCTGGCTATGACTGATGTAAGTAGTTAAAAGATGCCTACAGCACTGTGGAGCATATTCATCAATAGGCAAATATGACCATGAGTATGACAGTAATCTCTGTTCTTTATGACAGTTTGGTGCCTTGAGTGATGGGGATATTAAAACACTATAAATCCAGACTGTGTCCGTGCATCATTAGCCGCCCGAAAAAGAACAGTTGACAGGAAACATCTGAATTTTCACATATTGTGAGATCACCTGACTCAGTAAATCAGTCCACATTTAGCCTCTGAGCATGCTGACATGAAACAGTATTTTGGGTGCACTTTCCTTCCTTAATAACCATGTTATTTTTTTTAAAAGGTAGCTATATGTGCACTTAACACAGTGAAAACTATTGACACTATGTGGGATAATAACCTTTCAATAATATAATATAATATAATAATAAATGCACCTTTAGTTTACTAATCGGACTGTAACAAGTCCCATTAGTAAACTGTAACACTGTTATGAATAAAATAGAAAAATGCTATGAAATGGAAGATAAATAAATATAATAAAATACAATCATTGTGCTTCTGTGTTGTTATATGCAATTTTCCTATTCAGTCTATATGTTGTCTTAATTTAGCATCTTGTTGTTCATGGTCATTTGAATAAATTTGAATTTGATTTAAGGACATTATTGTCTACTTCTTGTACAACTTTTCAGTTGAGTGGGTCTTGTTTTAAGAATGTTTAAAAGTTTAGACAAATATATTTCTATGCGTAATACACATAACAATGTGAGAGTAAACGTTTTGCAGATATATAATTATAGAACAGCCCTGATCTTGATAAACTGACTTTACTGTAAGTCATCAGACACATCCAGTTTTGTGTAACTGAAATTCAGTGAAAATAGTACAAACTGTTTGATCTTCTCTGTCTCTCTCTCTCTCTCTCTCTCTCTCTCATCCCCTACGCCTCTTCCTTCCTTTCCCACCCAAAGTATGAGTGTGGAGAAAGCAGAAGAGTTTAATTTTCTGCGTGTCAACAGCACAAATTTCCACGCGCAGAGTGAATCAGTGCGCGTACATTCATTCACAGTGATTGTAGAAATGCGCAATTACGTGCGGCGACGGCTGGCGAGCTGGAAAACCCCACTGGAATGACAAGTCCTGTATTTGGATCAATTCTAACGGATTATCTAAGTGAACATAAGATTACAGTCATGCTACATTTAATCTGCCTCCTGTGCCTCGTGGACATATCTGGTAAGTACTAGTTAGTTTCCCACTACATGTGTCGTTTCTCCTTTTGAATTGATTTCAAAATATTGATTGATTGATTGATTGATTGATTTGGGAGAGTGCAATTAGTATGGGAATTGGGTTAGTTGTTGCAAAGGCCATCTCATGTAACTGTTTTTGAGTCAGAAGAATGTGAGTCATCTACCAGTAATTTTGTATGTTGGTTTAAATATTCTATACAATATTTTGGTCTATATTAGAATGACATTTGTCAATTCTATGCTCACAATACGCTATAAAACACACACAAAAATATTTTTGGCAGTTTTATCCTTACAATATACAACGCACGCGCACGCACACGCACACACGCTTAATAAAACTGCACTGAAAATTCCATGCAAGTTCAACCAAGTTTGAACTGTTTTTTTTTTCTTTATTTTAATATCAGTTGTCACTATTTTTATTGTTGTCTGGATTGTTTAAGACGGGTTCAGCCTTAGCAGTGGTAGCAACTTACTGTATATAGTGTGACAACAACAACAGCAGGTCAATATATGTTCAAAAATGTTTTTCTTGTGGAAAAGTTTTTTTCTTTCTTTGTCACTATTTTTATTGTTGTCTGGATTGTTTAAGACGGGTTCAGCCTTAGCAGTGGTAGCAACTTACTGTATATAGTGTGACAACAACAACAGCAGGTCAATACATGTTCAAAAATGTTTTTCTTGTGGAAAAGTTTTTTTCTTTCTTTTTTTTTCTGTAGCCAACACTTTAAGGCATGTGCATGTATAGATATTGACTTCACTGGAGTCAAAAGTGTGACAACTAGTCCTGGGCTTGTCTACATATTTTCATTATTTCGCACATGGGATCTAATGGTATTCATGGTGGAATGATGGATTTGGATCCTGATATTGTTCTTGTGTTGAGAAGGGCACATAGTGGCAGAAAGCCAGGGGAAATGTGTGAAAGCAGGAATGTGGATGTTCCTCTATAGTGGCTCCATTGTTGCTGTTATTTTGTGATCAATGTAAATAAACAGGAAACTATTGAATAAATTCTTAAGTGATGAGAATATTAACTTACTAACTAACTATTATTTTTTTCTCTCTAGCAATTATTTTCCAATAGTTGTCCAATTTTAGTAAACTACATTGCATTAATCTGTATGAAATGTGTCCTCTCAGATGCAGTCATGGATCTCACAATGACCTCTAACGGGGCCACATCTGCTCATCATTTCCGCCTCTCTTGCGTTTCTGGAGAGTGTGATACAGACGGGATTCAGCTGAGCATCACAAAGGACAACAGCATTGTCCTTCGTGCAGATTCGCCACATTTTAATGTGCAGAGGCCACAGACTAAAGAAGTGGTGGCTACTGGATTTACAGGCTTTGACCACAGTGGGATTTTCTACTGTCACTCAAAAAGGGGCTCTGACCAAACTGGCAGCATTACACTCATCAACAACTACAGCAAAGGTATGATGACATGAGTGGGGGGGGAACACAAGTTATAGTTCACCCAAAATATAAATTCTGTCATCATTTACTAACCCGCATGTTACAAACCTGTGTGATTCAAAAAAGACACAAAAGAAGATACCTTGAAGAATGTTTCAGCTGTTTCTGCTCTTGCAATGAGAGTCAATGGGATTTAAAAAAAAACAATCCTTGAGGCATTTAAAATAAAATGTCTTATCTTTTTTGTGTTCTTCAGAAAAAAGTAAGTCATACAAATTTTGGAATGACATGAGGGTTAGTAAATAATGACAGAATTTTCATGTTTGAGTGAAATCTTTAAACCTTAAACAGTTTGACAAAACACTCAAAACAGATTGTTTTTGTGCAAGTATTAAATATCTGAAATATCTAATCTAAAATGTATTAATAACCTGAAATATATTTGTAAAACTAATCAGACTGAAGAAAAGATTTTATAAATGTGATGTTATACCAAAAAAAGACACAAAAGAAGATACCTTGAAGAATGTTTCAGCTGTTTCTGCTCTTGCAATGAGAGTCAATGGGATTTAAAAAAAAACAATCCTTGAGGCATTTAAAATAAAATGTCTTATCTTTTTTGTGTTCTTCAGAAAAAAGTAAGTCATACAAATTTTGGAATGACATGAGGGTTAGTAAATAATGACAGAATTTTCATGTTTGAGTGAAATCTTTAAACCTTAAACAGTTTGACAAAACACTCAACAGATTGTTTTTGTTCAAGTATTAAATATCTGAAATATCTAATCTAAAATGTATTAATAACCTGAAATATATTTGTAAAACTAATCAGACTGAAGAAAAGATTTTATAAATGTGATGTTATACCAGAATACTATTATTATTATGTCTTTTAAGACCACTTTAAACCAGTGAGAGTCACTCTGACGGCCAGTAAAGGAGACAAAGTGAAACTAATCATGGATGTTGTTGGGACAGAAAGACGAGACATTGCTTGGAAATTCAATGGTCAGTATATCTTTAATCTTATTCTTTATGATTTAGCAAGATGCATGTCAAAAGAGCATGTATGCAACATTTTATGCATGATAATATGAGATTCATGAGAATATGTTTCAAAATGATATACATACAAAAAAAAAAAAAAGAGAGAGAAATAAAAAAATTTTAATCCAAAATGGGACGCCATGTAGAAAAACAAAGAGATTCCAGCAGGATGTTTCCAACAAGATGATCAGTAAATTGATGAGCAAAAATTAGTAAATGAATGAGCAATTTATAAGCAAGAATATTCTGATTTCCTTTAGGTAACTACTACTACATGACTCCTATTGCTGATGTTCAAAACCGCACAGCAGTTCTGGATCTGATGAAAGTTGATGAAAGCCATACAGGAATTTACAGTGTCAGCTATGTTGGGGACAGTGCTCTTTATAGTGCCTGGATCCGCCTCATCGTTCGTGGTAACATAATCAGTATCATATGACCAATTTAAATATATTCAGAACTATGGATTTTCTATTCTAGTGCTTGATTTATTTTCTAGAATGTCCAAAGAATAAATGGGGCTCCGACTGTGACAAAGACTGTCCCGAATGCTTGAATGGAGGCGTGTGCCATGACAAAAATGGAGATTGTGTTTGCCCACCGGGGTTTATGGGAATGCGCTGTGAAACAGGTAAATGAAAACCATTTCTATGATACTGATCATTTGCATCTTAGAGACTATGCATGTAAGGACTTAAACATACAAATAATTTTTCTGATTTTGGTCTTGCAGCCTGTCGTGAAGGAATGTTTGGTAGGAGCTGCCAGGAATCCTGTAAGTCGGAGAATGGATGCCAGGGCTTGAGTTTCTGTCTCACGGATCCTTACGGCTGTTCTTGTGCCAGCGGCTGGCATGGAGATCGCTGTCGTAAACGTGAGTTTAACATAAGATCCCTTTCTATAATAACTGTTCCCTCCACGCAGAGTATCATCTGGACCCAACAGAAAGGATTCAGTTCTGAATTAAAATTAAAGTTTAAACAGGTGCTGCTGGAATCTGCCAGTAAAAATTCAGCTTCCATCAATCTGACCATGATAAACATTTCTTACTGCTCTGTCCATTTGTTTTAGTCTTTGTGGAAACCAGTTTCCACCTCGGAGTAAATAAAACACGTAACTGTGAGATAAAGTTTCAAATAAACAACAAAAAAAGAGAAGTCACGCTGTAACATTGTGAAATACAAAATTGCAAATACAGGAAATAGCCACAATTATGAGAAATAAAGCTGAAGTAGAGTGATATAAAGTCAAATTGTGTGATGCAGTCACATTGTGAAATACAAAGTTGCAATTATAAGAACAGAAAGTTGCAACTGTGAAAAATAAAGCTGCAATGTCAATGTTATTTTCATAGCCTGTCTTGAAGGAATGTACGGCGCTGACTGTCTTTTAAGTTGCAACTGCAAGAACAAAGGCAAATGCAATCGATTCAGTGGCTGCCAATGTCCTACAAGCTGGAGAGGGCAATACTGTGAGAAATCAGGTCAGCCTTCAAAACTACTTTTCCATCTGCTCTAAAATCTATAACGTTTGTTCCTCTTGGCGCCGTTTGTCTAACCTTATCCCTCTTTCAGATCGTGCACCAGAGATTTTGGACATGGCCAGTAACCTGGAGGGAAACTTGAACTCCAGCCACAAGATCACATGTTCTGCAACAGGCCATCCACTGCCAAGCCATATGAGTATTGGGCTACGCAAGCTGGAAAGCACCGTTCTTAAGGTGAAAGCGTCATAAGTATAAGAAGCTTAATAAGAGGTTGCATATGAAATTGAAAAAATGAATGTTGTGTCTATCTTTTCAATGTGACAGTCTTTGTGATTGTCTGCTGTTGATTTCTCAGGCATCTCACACTACCATGGACTCCAAAAAAAGCACAGCTCACTTTGAGATCCCAAGGCTGTCTGCAGAGCATAATGGTCTGTGGGAATGTCGAGTCTCCACCAATGGTGGGCAGGATTCCTTCAAGTTTATCTTAACTGTGAAAGGTGAGATTCATTTTAAAATGGATTCATTCTAGCGATGTTCTTACTAACTGAAAGACATAAATTTGCACTTCGTTGTGAACTAGAGCCACCCTACCCAACCACTGCTCCTAAACTGCTGTCTAGGAGTAGCAAACAGCTGGTTGTAAAGCCAGTGGACACTTATGTGGGTGACGGTCCCATTATTTCCACTAAGCTACTTTACAAGCCAGTGGATACAGAAGACTCTTGGTCCTCCATTATAGGTAACTTTGCCCAAATAATTTCTGGTTTTAGGAATTCCTGCATTAGGTTCATGCCAATGTGTAGAATCATATCAATATACTATAAAAGTCATACACATATCTTTTTTTTTAGTGTATGGCAGTGATCAAATCACTTTACCGAATTTAAAGCCCTCAACCAGATACCATGTCCGTGTACAACTCGCTCGCCAAGGGGAAGGAGGAGAAGGTCCTTTGGGTCCAGAGGCAATCATGGAGACTGACTGCCCAGGTGAGAATCAATCAAAATAGAATTAAAAATGGCTTGGTTGTAGAAAAAGATGGAGGTAAATGCCTCATTTAAGAACATATTTAGATTTGAGTTTAGCATGTACAGGAATACAATGTACAAAATTGCCCCATTACTGTGATAAGATGGCCCCCTACCTGTGGCAAAAAGACGCCTTCAGTAAACTTGTCCTAATTGTAAGTGTAAAATACATCTGATACATGTACAATACGCGATAACCTAAATCTAATTAATGGAATTATAATATTGAAATAAATAATTAAAACATTAGCAATAACATGCCACTGTCCCACTTCTGAAGGTATCATCCTACCCCGGTGTCTAACCATCGTTATTTTAGTGTTATTTATATGCTATCATAGTATTTATTAATATGTTGAATTTTGTTTTTATATTTTCAGTTTTCATTTCAATTTAATTTAAGTAATTGTGCTTTTGTTGTTTTTATTAGTTTTCTATATAGCTTTAATTCTTTTAATTCAGTTTTACTTTTAGTAATTTTATTACTAGTCTTAAAACTTTTCTCATCTAATATTTATATATTATTTTATGTCAGCTTTATTTCAATTAGCAAAAACCATTTTTAATAGTTTTATTTAACAATAACAATGCTGAGTCTGTCCACAAGTCCATTGTTAACAAACAGCCTTTTAATATCTGACCTAAAATAAATTAACAGATCACTATAATCCAATAAAAAAAAAAAAATTTCAAACTGTTCAGAATAAATCTAACGCTGAAGTTCAGATGAAAAGATTATGAAGTTCCATAAACCTTCAGTAAATGTGTTGAGATGAGATTGAGTGACATCTCAACAGAATAAATAAAAGTGGGGGCATATTTCCTCATCTTATGAGGAGAAGAGTGGGGTTCTTTAAGCTGAAGATGGAGGTTTGGATGAGGTTGACATGGATTGTCAAAAACTGGACTGGAAAGAAGTCTATATAGATAAACGATATTTTGACTTGTTGACTTTCAGTCAATATTTGACCCTAAAAAGACTGACTCTGAGAGCAGTATAGTTTTTATGTAGCTCAGCTGCAGCGGACAGCATCTGATTGCGTATTCTGTGTCGCTAGAGCCCACGGCCAGGCCGGAGATTGATTCCTGCTCATTGGAGGGCCGTAATGCCACCATCAGGTGGTCCCTGATTGGCACGTCCCGCAAAGCCACTGGCTTTTTAGTACAGCTCAATGGACCACATGGAGAGAAGCTGCGGGAGGAAACCACCTTGCTTAATGTGCTCTCCATCAAGCTCTACAATCTGGAGTATCACAGGGACTACCAAGTGGTTGTCCGGCTGATAAACTGCGGCAGCCATGGGCCCCTTTCAAAACCCCACCATATTCACATCTATAAGCAGGGTAAACAGAAATCGTGCATGTCCCCAAGTAGGCGCAAGTAGGTGACTGACTATAAAACAGGACATGAATGTTAGATGTTAGACAGGATTTGGTGGAAAGGAATAACTCACAAAAGTGTGAAATGAAACTGAAGTGGCAAAATTACGTATGATCTTTCTCCAGGTCCTTCTTCTCCAAGGAACGTCCAGGCAGATGCTCTGTCCATCAATGCAGTCAGGCTTCACTGGCAGCCGCCTGAGGACCCCAACGGAGGCATTGTGAAGTACAGCATTGAATACCAGCCAGTGGGCCAGAGCAGCTTTCACCCTTGGGTGGACACAGACGATGGCAACAAAACCACGAAGGATGTGACATCCCTCAACGGGAGCACATTATACCAGTTCAGGGTGAGGGCTTTCTCCAAGGTTCCAGGGGAGTGGAGCAAGTTTGTACAAGCCAGAACACGTGGAGACGGTAAGTGACCAGAGAGAATAACTGTGAGAAAGTCATACTGTAAAACCGAAATATCAAGGCACTTACTGTTTTTCATATTAAGCAGGATTCTCCAACTATATTCCCAACACTCAGCAAGTTGGACGGCCAATGGCTGAGGATCATCAGCTTCTTTGGGCTGTGGTTGGGTCAGTGGCTGTGACCTGTGTGACCATCCTTCTGGCCCTTTTGATTCTCTTCTACATTAGCAAATCTGTCCTTAAACGAAAGCGGACGTTCACCTATCAGTCTGGATCGGTGAGTGGACACTTTACTTTATTACTTTATTTTTACTCTTATGCTTGTGTATGTACAATGGCAGCAAAAATGTTTTGGACAGTTTTGGACACAAAATCTAATTTATATATAAACTTTATATTTTAATTCTTCAACATAGTGGGATAGTTAAATCTACTTCATCAATATATATATTTTTTTTATATCTTATATTTTTTATTTATACATTAGCAAATCTGTCCTTAAACGAAAGCGGACGTTCACCTATCAGTCTGGATCGGTGAGTGGACACTTTACTTTATTACTTTATTTTTACTCTTATGCTTGTGTATGTACAATGGCAGCAAAAATGTTTTGGACAGTTTTGGACACAAAATCTAATTTATATATAAACTTTATATTTTAATTCTTCAACATAGTGGGATAGTTAAATATACTTCATCAATATATATTTTTAATTTTTTTATATCTTATATTTTTTATTTATATATGATTAATTATATACGTAACATGGTGAATTTTATGATGGTATGTATATACACTACCATTTAAAATTTTGGGGTCAGCGATATTTTTACTGAAATAAATTAATACTTTATTCAGTAAGAATGTATTCAATTGATCAAAAAACTGACAGTAAAGACTTTTTACATTGTTACAAAAAAATATATATATATATTTTGAATGCTTTTCTTTTGAACTTTCTATTCATCAAAGAATCCTGAAAAAATATATTCACGGTTTCTAAAAGAACATATTAAGCAGCACTGATTACAATTTTCAACATTGATAATAATAAGAAGTATTTATTGAGCACCAAATCAGCATATTAAAATTATTTCTGGAGGATGGAAGTAGACAAGGAAGTAATGGCTGCCGAAAATTCAGCTTTGCCATCATAGAAATAAATTAAAATTTAAAATATATTAAAATATAAAATAGTTATCTTAAATTGCAAACTGCAAATTGAATCTTTTTTCAAATACATCAAATAAAGGCAGTTTTTGTTAAGAAAAAATCTTAGATCCCAAACTTTTGAACAGTTATACAGTGTATAATAATAATAGAGCCATAATAAGTACATATATATATATATATATATATATATGTATATACTCTTCAATAAATGTAAACGCATGCATTCTCAGGGAGAAGAGACTATCTTACAGTTCAACTCTGGGACTCTCACACTGACCCGACGACCAAAGCCTTCCACGGAGCCCCTCACCTATCCCATACTGGAGTGGGAGGACATTAAGTTTGAGGATGTCATTGGAGAAGGGAACTTTGGTCAGGTCATCAAGGCCATGGTCAAAAAAGATGGCATAAAAATGAGTGCTGCGATTAAAATGCTCAAGGGTAAGAACACAAGCCAACACATCATTGTTAGCCAAGGTCTGTTTTGACATGATTTTGATTTTGTGTGTCCGTTGTGTGCACCTGCAGAGTTCTCCTCAGAGAATGACCATCGAGACTTTGCCGGTGAATTAGAAGTGCTGTGTAAATTGGGACAGCATCCAAACATAATAAATCTAATCGGTGCCTGTGAAAACAGAGGTGAGTGCGCCACCTATTGGCTTTACCTAGATATAAGGTCAAATAATATAATGTGCCTCACAGAGATTAATGTAAATCTAGAAGTGTAATAGTAATGTCAATAAAGCTTAAAATCACTATTGTCAAAGTACTTTATTTGGCACGGATACCATATGAATTTTTCTCTATTAAATAGTGCAGATATGTGACAGCTTCTGTTATCCACAGGTTACCTTTACATTGCCATTGAATATGCACCGTACGGAAATCTTTTGGACTTCCTAAGAAAGAGTCGTGTCCTAGAGACCGATCCTGCTTTTGCTAAAGAGCACGGAACTGCCTCCACACTCACCTCCCAGCAGCTCTTGCAGTTTGCTGCTGATGTAGCAACTGGCATGCATTACCTTGGTGACAAACAGGTATAACGTTTTTCAGATTATGGAGGTGTATATATAAGAATCCATGGATGGATGGGCAAAATTAAAGGAATAGTTCACTCAAAAATTAAAATTTACTCAAATTTACTCACCCTCAGGCCATCCATAATGTAGATGAGCTTGTTTCTTCATGGGAACAGATTTGGAGAAATTTAGCATTACATCACTTCCTCTCCAATGGATCCTCTGCAGTGAATGGGTGCAATCAGAATGAGAGTCCAAACCACTGATTTTCATATTTTCAGCAAATTTTCATTTTTAGGTGGAATATTCCATTAAATTCCCATATTGGCCCAGTAATTCTATTGTTTTTATTACTTGCAGTGATGCAAATTGTTTAATTATTAGCCTTTAAAGGGGTGGTTCACTGGTTTTTTTCTAGGCTTGATTGTGTTTATGGGGTGCAGGCTAACATGTGTTAATGCTTCGTTTTTTAAAAAACGTATTATTTTTCACATAATTTACCTTTATTCCACACCGCTCTGTCCCTTCTCTGAGAAACACGCTGATCATTTCCTTCTTTTATGAAGCCCCTCCCTCAGAAATAGGCGATGGGCTCTGATTGGTTAGCTAGCCCAATGTGTTGTGATTGGCTAAACCGCCTCTAGTGCACATCTTAACGTCCCGCCCCTCACCTCAGCGGCATGTGCTCCGGTTGTATTGTAAACAACAGAGTCATCAATATCGCTTATCAGTTTGAGGCCGATTGAGAAGCAGAGGATATTATTGAAGAGGATCGTGCAGAACCTGTGCAAGCACGGCTTTTAATGGTAGGCCTATGTTTTTTGTTTGTTGTTGTCTCAT